GCTTTTTTGCACTTGGTTGTGAGATATTTTGCTCTAATACATGGCCAGTTTTTGTGAAGGTGCCATGTGCAGCTGGAAAAAAGGCATACTCCTTTTTATTCCCATTCAGTTTTCTTTAGAGATCTATCATATTTAATTTATCTGAAATTCTTTTCCTTTTCTTAACTTCCGTTAACTTCTTCCTTGTTTATCTTTTAGTTGCATTTATCTGGTTCTGAGAGGGAAAAGTTGAGATTCTTCACTAGTACAGGTTTACCGTTTCCTCCTACAACGATGCTATACCATTTGGTGCATATATATTTAGTATTGATATTGCTTCATTGTCTGTGGTACCTTTTAGCATAATGTAATTTCTCTGCTTATCTCTTTTAATTAGATCTACTTTTGCTTTTGCGTTGTCTGAGATTATGATTACTATTCTGGCTTTTTTCTTACTTCAGCTGGAACATCATAAATTCTACTTCAAGCCCTTATTTACTCTGTGTGTGTGTGTGTGTGTGTGTGTCCCCGTGTGTCCCCATGTGTCTATCTGTATGTCTGTGTGTCTTATTTGAAGTGTGTTTTTTGTAAACAACATATTGTCAGATCCTGGCTTTTATAGCAGCACTTTTTTTTTTCTTGGGTGAGGCAGTCAGGGTTAAGTGACTTGCCTAAGATCATACAGCTAGTAAGTGTCCTCCTGACTCCAAGGCTGGAGCTCTAGATTCTGCTTTTTAATCCATTCTGCTCTCTGCTTGAGTGTCTCTCTGTTTCAAATGTATTTCTTGTACACATCATATCGTTGGATTCTGGTTCTTAATCTTTTTTGCTATCTGCTTCCATTTTATGGGTCAGTTTATCCTCTTTACAGTTATGATTATTGCTTATCCTCCCCCCACCCATTTATCCTTTTCTTTTCTACCCTGTTCCTCAAAAGTCTTTTTTGATTCTGACCACTGCCTCTCTCAAACTGCCCTCCCTTCTATCAGCTCCTTCACCCCAAATTCTCTTTTCCCCTTGCCCTCCTACTTTCTTGTAGGATAAAAAAGGTTTCTGTACTTCCAGCTGAGTATGTAATGCTATTTGAGCCAATTCCAGTGAGAGTAAGGTTCAAATGTTGCCTTCCAAACCTCCCTCTCTATTTTCCCTTCCACTGTAAAAGCACTTCTCTGTGTGACAGAATTTTCCTCCTTCTACCTGTCTTTCTCACCCCTACATTTAATTTGTAGAAATCATCCCAACATAGTCTGCTCACACACATGTCCTCTGACTATGTAAATTCCTTTTAATTACTCTAATAATAATAATTTTCTTAAGTTACACCTATCATCCTTCCATATAGGAATGTAAACAGTTTAATCTTATTGAATCCCTTATGATTTATCTTTCATGTTTTCCTTTTTTTACTTCTGTTGGTTCTTGCACTTTTGAGAGTCAGATTTTCTATTCAACTTTTTGTTTCTTTTTTTTTTCATTGAGAATGCTTGGAAATCCTCTATTTCATTAAATATCCTGTTTTCCCCTTTAATGATTGCACTCAGTTTTGCTAGGTAGCTTATTCTTGGTTATAATCCTAGTTCCTTTGCCTTCTGAAATATCATATTCCAAGCCCTCTGATTCTTTTATGTAGAAGCTGCTAAATCTTGTGTTATACTGACATGGCTGCACAGTATATGAACTGTTTCTGTCTGCTCTTGCAGTGTTTTCTCCTTGGCCTGGAAGCTCTGGAATTTGACTATGATATTCTTGGGAATTCATTTTGGAATCTATTTCCAGAGGTGATAGGTGGATTCTTTTAATTTTACCCTCTGGTTCTAAAATATCAAGACAGTTTTCCTTTATAGTTTCTTGAAATATTATGTCTAGGTTCTTTTCTTGATCGTGACTTTTAGATAATCTAGTAATTCTTAAATGATTTCTCTTGGATCTCTTTTTTAGGTCCGCTTTTTACAATTAGATAGTTCACATTTTCTTCTGCTTTTAATTCTTTTGACATTATTTTATTGTTTCTTGATGTCTCATGGAGTCATTAGCTTCCACTTGCCCAATTCTAATTTTTAAGGAGTTATTTTCTTGCATGCATTTTTATACCTCTTTTTCCATTTGGCCAGTTCTCTTTTTTTAAGGAATTCTTCTCTTCAGTAGATTCTCATCCCTTCTTCCCTTTTTTTTAAAAAAATGGCCAATTATGTTTTTTAAGGTCTTTTTTTCTTTGGGTTTTTTTTGTGCCTCTTTTACCTAGCTATTAATTCCCTTTTCATAATTTTCTAGCATCACTCTCATTTCTTTTCTTAATTTTCCCTTTACCTCTCATTTGTTTTTTAAAATCCTTTTGAGTTCTTCCAGGACTTTTTTTGGGGTTTATATCTAATTCACATTTTTTCTTTGAGGCTTTGCATGTGGCTATTTTGACTTCTTTATTCTTTATTTGTTTCTTGATCTACCCAGTTTCCTTAGTAAGTTTCCATGGTCAAGTTCTTTTTTGTTATTTGTTAATTTTTTCAGCTCATTTTTTGACATTTAACTTCATGTTAAAGTTGGGCTCTGCTCCTGTGTCCAGCTTTGGGTTTTTTGTGCTGCTGTTTTGAGAATTAGTTGTTGGGGTCTGTAAGTTTTTGGTTATTTTGAGTTGTATGATCTAAGGAGAGGTGTGGTCACTGCTCTCCTGACCTGTGCTCTGATCTGTGAGTGACCGTAAGCACTCTTTTCTGCCCTGGAACTGTGAGCAGGGTCCCTATTTCCTCCTGTGGCAGCAAGTAGTTTTGCTCCTTATGTCCCTAGAAATGTGAGTTTGCTACCTGCCCTTCTGTTAATAAACATAATTGTGTTTATAGATATCTGGGAAGGATCCAGTGGATAAGGAGAAATTGATGATTAGAGAGAGGGTGTTGAATAATGATGGAGGAATTCTGCTGGAGAAGATGTGTAGTTGTACAGGTTTTGGCCTTGCGAGAGGGGCCACTTTTTTCTTTAGACTAGAACAGTGTATTTTTCTGTTGAAGTATATATTAAACTCTTGGGACTGAGAAAGTAAGGGGAGAAGATAGTATGGAATACTGAAGGGGAGAAGAAGGGAGGGTTGGATAAGGAATCAATTAGATGAGAATAAATAGGATTACCAGGTGCAATGAAGACCCTGTTGAGATTAGATAGCTTAAATTTATAGTGAACTATTTTGTAGTTTTTCCAGCTCCATTCAGTAGCACCTTAAATAATTGAGTATAAACTTGTTTAATTTGTTGTTTCCATAAAGAATGTAAGCTTCTTGAGGTCAGGGAGTGTTTTTAAGTTCTGTGTTTGTCTCCCCTGCATCTAAAGTATACTTTGCCCATAATAAAAGGGCCATTGTGGGGAGAAGGGAGGGACTGAAGATGCATGGAGTGAGGGTGAATGACTACCATATCATGGTTTAGAGGAGACAGGAGGAAAATGAATAATGGGCACAAGTAGAAGAGTTAGTTTTAGTAAAGGTAAGTCTTCCTTATTCTCTGAAACATGAGGAAATGGGGAGAAAGTGAATGGAAAGGCTGAGAAGTGATTGAAAATGAGGAGGGACTTTGAAGGAATTCCTCTTAGATGTTCTCAGTCTTCTTTATGTAAGGTCTATAAATTCATTTTCCTGTTTTGTCCTTGGGGGTGCTTAGGGAGGGGAGACATTGTGACTTATCTAAGTTTCAGGTGAGAGGTTAGTCTGCAGTTTCACAACAGAGGCAAAACGCACTAGAACTCAAATTTCTCTGTATTTGTAGCATTTTGGACTCCTCAGCAAGACCTATTTTGGTGCTGTGTGGGAAGGAGTGTACTTGCTGGAAGCTTTGGTAATTTAAGGATCTTGGAAATAATTTAAATTTTAATCCATAGCTTGGGTTTTGTTGGTTCTTATAATTTTTCAACAAACTTTGATTTTTTTTTTTTTTGCCATCAGGATTTCATTGAGTTCTTTCTTTGTGCCACATGGTGGCACCATTGTGTGGGTTTAGATGGAATATTAAAATTTTTATGTATGGCAGAGTTTTAGAAAATCATTCATTCATCTTTTGCCTATAATACTCTCAATAACTGATCCATTGTACACATATTTTTGTCTAGATTATGATAATTTCTCATTTCCATAAAGCTCCTTCAGTGGGGCTTCATTGTGCAGAGCATTACAGAAAACAAAAGTTTGGGTCAGCTATTAAAAAAAAAGCATCTGAAACTTGTACCTACCTGTCTTTGTAAATATTAATTTCATAAATCCATTATAATTTTAACCTAATTTTCCCCCATATTTATGTGGAGATTTTTACCTTCATATATTTTATAAAACTTAATTTTAAGAAATACTTTATATAACAAGTATTTAGTAAAAGTCTTTGACAAATGAATATTAAATTACATATTTGGAAATCAACCTGTTGCCTGTTTATAGTGCACCTGTCTAGGAATGAAACTTATGAGGAGATATTTGTAATACATTCATGTTTTACATGAGAGTTGGGTAGCAGTTTTCATGAGTTAGATAGCAGAGTGTGTTCCAAGTCCAAATAGGCCGAGGTTTGTTTTTCTTGCTAACCTAAGGCTAAAACAAACAGTTCGCATGGTACTGAAAAGCCTTTAATATTTTTCAGAGTACAAGAGAGGGTGAGTTTCTGCTTAGTAGCACCATAGCATTAAATACAGTCATTTGTACATAGAGCAGGAAAAGTCAAATTTTAGTGCCTAGGTATTTTGATACCAACACTTGGAAAATCAAAGTGAAGTACAGAAATGAATTGATTAAAAAAGAGTTAAGATTAGGAACTTAAGTGAAGATGAGGGTAAAGTATCATCATCAAAAGGTAGCTTTATAATTAATAAAGAACCGGTGGTTTTTTACTCAAAATTTGCTTTTCTAGATTTTCCTTGGACTAAGTAAGTATGCTGAATGAATTGGAAGTAAATGCTACCAGACAGTTTGTAAATTTTTATATAATCCAGTTTCAATCTGAAAGTAAATAGCTCTGTCACATTATGGTGTACTTATACTTTTTTCTCACTAGGTTATTCTTGGAGATTACAATTGGATGTCTTATGAAGAAGTTTATATTCGAGCCTTTAACTTTGGAAATGGTCTACGGGTATTGGGACAGAGACCAAAAACTAACATTGCCATCTTCTGTGAAACCAGAGCAGAATGGATGATTGCTGCACAAGCTTGTTTTATGTATAATTTTCAACGTATGTAAATTTTTATAAAAATTTCTTAGTGTCTCTTGTAATGTGATTGGTAGAAGTTATTGACCTACTTTTTTTTAATCTACAAGGATAATAAATTGAGTGTTTTCAACTCAGTAGATAACTGCAATTTTTTTAAAATTACGGCTTGAATATGATTCTCTTCTTCCTAATAGTCTCCCAACAAACCATTTTTCTGATTATTATTGGAAGAATAGTTGGAGAGGTAGTATTGGAAACAGTTTATGTATGATGCGCAGTGTTCAAATAAATTTAAAATATTTTTGTGACCATCATTATTATTTTTTCTTTAAACCGTATCACTTATTACTTCCATGCCCTTGCTATGGGAAGTATAGACTGGAGATGAGAAGGGTGGGAGAGTAGAAGAGGTAAAAGTAAAGAGCAATTGCCAAATAACTAAGAATGCTGCCTTTTTCCTTCTAGTAGTTTTCAAATGAAGGTTGATTATTTGATAATAGACCTCAAACGGTTGGGTGTATTTAATTTCTTTGGCAGTTAGAAGCAAGAAAAGAGATTATTCAAGAATGACTTGTAATGACATTTAAGTAGTCATTTTGTGATGGACCAATCACTTTGTCAGAGGAGTGAAGGATGGAATGGCGTAGGGAGAGATTTGAGGCAAGAAGACCAGTAAGAAGGCTTTGGTGTGGGTCTGTGCCAGGGTGGCAGCTATGTGAGTGGTGAGAAGAGGGCCTTATTGGTGATTGTTTGGATCTGTGGGCTAAGTGTGAGTAAGAAACCAGGACTGACACTGGGGCTGCTAAGCTGGGACTATGTTGGTGCCCTTGAAACCACTAGGAAACTTTGGTAGATGGCTTGGGGGAAAAGCTAATGAGTTCTGGATTAGACATGTTGAGTTTGAGAGTTCTGTGGAACATTTGAGTTTCAGAGCAGTTGGTGATGCGAGACTGGACTTTAAGAGAGAGGTTAGTATTGAGTAAACGGCCTGGGAATCATCTGCGTAGAGATGACAGTTGAACCCATGGGACCTAATGAGATTACCAAGTGAGATAGTGTACAGGTAGGAGAGAACAGGACCTAGGACAGACTTGTAGAGGGATACCAACTGTTTCTGAGCATGAACTGGATGAAAATCCAGCAAAAGAGAATGACAAGTGATCAGAGAGGTGAGAGATGGACCAGGAGAGAGCAGTTATATGAAAACCTAGACAGGAGATATTATCAAGGAGAAGAAGGGTGATCAACTGTGTCAAAGGGTAAAGAGAAGTCAAATGATAAGGATTGAGAAATGGTCGTTAGATTTTAGTAATTGAGATCTTTGGTAACTATGATACTGTTGGTTGTGAGGGCTTGTGGAAGATCATGGCAAAATTTGGTTTCCCACTGAAGTTCTTCAGTATTGTATGTTAATGCCACCACAGCATGCTTAAATGGGTTCTGGATAATGGACTGTTTCTCATGCTTTCCCGGTCACCAGTGGAGTGAAGCGGGGCTGTGTACTTGCTCCCATGCTTTTTTTTAGCATGATGTTTTTATGATATTGTCAGGTGCCTTCAATGAGGATGAAAATGGCAACAAGGTCAGCTACTGTGCTGATGGTAAATTATGTAACTTGAGAAGGCTACAAGCCAAGACTACTTTAGTAGTCTTGGAGACTACTAGAGGGAGAATTGGTGCATGATTTTTTTTTTGTTTGCAGATGATTATGCACTCACTGTAGCCTCTGAGACTGAGATGCAACGGAGTATGGATCGATTCTCTGCTGTTTGTGCTAATTTTGGCCTGACGGTAAACACTAAGAAAAGAGGTACTCCCAGCCAGCACACCAGCACACCACCATCCATAGATGGAACCACTGATTACAGCAGATAGAAAAATTTTGAATCCTGTGGATAAGTTCACTTTCCTTGGCAGTATACTTTCCAGGGATGTACATATAGATGATGAGGTTGATGTATGCAGTGCCAGAGCTAGCTCAGTGTTTGGGAGCCTCTGAAGAAGCAAAGAGAAGTATTAGACTGCCTACCAAACTGAAGGTCTACAGAGCCATTGTGCTGACTTCATTGTCGTATGCCTGTGAAACCTGGGCAGTTTACCAGCCGCATTCTAGGAAACTGAATCACTTCCATCTAAATTATCTTAGGAAGATTGTGATGATTTCTTGGTAAGATATGGTACCAGATGCTGAAGTTCTTTCTCAAGCTGAACTGCCAGGCATTCAAATTCTGCTGCAGCAGAGAGCACAACTCTGATGACCATGCTACGTTGTTCAAATGCCAAGTGTACATTTGCCTAAAAGACATTTTTATGGAGAACTCAAGGCTAGTGGTCACACAAGAGGTCAGAAGAAGTGATCCAAGGTCTCAAGAACTTTGGAATTGATTGTGAGACACTGGGACAGGACCACCCAGCATGGTGTGCCTATGTCAAGGAGAAGGTGCTTTGCTTGTAGAACAAAACAGAATTGTAATCGCTCAAAAGAGAAATGTGAGATGTGCAGATTTAGAGAGATCTCCATTCCAAGTGTTCATATGGACTTTTTGTGCCTGACCCATTGTACCCTGACCCTGACACAGTGGTATCATTGTGGTCCTCTTTGAGCACAAAGGACAGCTTACCATGGGGATAGCCATTTCATGTGAATGAGATCGAGACCCAGAATGCAGAGAGTGTAGAAGCTAGTACGATGAAGGGAAGAGGAGGTATGAATTGTGGCTTTCCCAAGGACCTGGAGATGCAAAAGTCCAGCTTTAGTCTTGCCTCTTTTTGTTGTTGTTGTTGCTTTTTTGGTGAGGCAGAGTTAAGTGACTTGCCCAGGGTCATACATCTAGTAAGTGTCAAGTGACTAAGGCCAAATTTGAACTCAGGTCCTCCTGACTCCTAGGCTAAAGCTCTATCCACTGCCCCAGTCCTGCCTCTTTTAATGACTTTTCTTTGACTACTATCACCCACGTTGATCTTTTCATCTAGTATTGCTGCAGTGCTAAGTTCATTACTACTTATTTTGGTGCTAAATCACTTATTGTCTTGGATCATTACATATTTCAAGTATATTTATGCTTTATTTCCTCAAAACAAGCTTTGTGAGGTCCTTGTGACAGGGGCCTTTGATTATATTTCTCTGATAGCATTTAACACCATGCGGTAGTTACCAGTAATAAGGGGTTATATTTTAGAAATTGGTCGTTTATTTGTTAATAAAAGGTAACCCAAAGTGTGACATCTAAGAAATCAAAAACAGGTGGTTCCATTTTGAAAATTGGAAATCTTGAAGATTGTCAGTGATTGGGAGTGGGAAGAAGTATGTGGTGAGCATGATTTTTTTTTTTGGAGCATAAATTAAAATTTTTCAATGGAAGTAGGTTTTTTTTTTTTTTTTTACCAAATTGATTTAAAATGTTCATGTCCTCAGCTGTTGGAATGGTGCCTGACATGGTAGGTGCATAATAAATGTTTTTTGATTGCTAGGTCCTAATGATTCAGATTCACTATCAGAAGCTGGTTCTTGTTAACTTTTAATTAACAAGTGTTCTGAAATGCTTAAATATTGATATTATGTTTTAATTTTAGTTTTTCTTTTTTCTTCCTTGTAGTTGTTACACTATATGCTACTCTAGGAGGTCCAGCAATTGTTCATGGATTAAATGAAACAGAGGTAACCAACATCATTACAAGTAAAGAACTTTTACAAACAAAATTGAAGGTAAGAAACATAGCTATTTTTATAATTATATCTAACATGCTAAGTATTTGTGGGAAAATTTAAACTTAATATGTGATAGGTTTTATTCTGTATATCCCTTGCAAGATGAGCAAAGAATCCTTTGTGTCTTTATCCAGGTCTTACCCAGTAGTACTAGGTTTCCTCCAAGGCTTTCTTCTCTTTTCTTTGTGCGATTTCTCTGGGTGATCTCATCAACACCCATGGTTTGATTATCGTTTTCTGCAGATGATTTCCAGCTCTATGTATCCAGTCCTAATTTCCGTAAGCTTCAGTCTCACATACACCTGCTGGACACCTCAAACTCAACATGCCCAATTAAGAATGAATTATCTTCCCCCAACAGACCTCCCTTTTCAAATTTTGCTATTCCTATTTAGAGCACCACCATACTTATAGTCACCCAGGTTCAAAACCTTGAAATCATCTGTAACTGCTCACTCTCAGCCCTCATCCAGATGGCTTCTGTGTCTTGTCATTTCTGCCTTCACCATATTTGCCCTTCACCCAGTGCCTTATGCCTTAGCATTTTGTGCTTAGACTATCACAGTAGCCTTCTGAGGAGTCTTCCTGCCTCAGGTGTCCCTGCTCCAGTCTGCTCTTCTGTAGCTGCCCAAGTGATCTTCTTGCAGGGACCATGTCACCCCCTCCAGCCAAGTTCTGCTGGCTCTCTCCTCCCTTCAGGATCAGATATAAAATTTTCTGTTTGACATTTAAACTGACCCCTACCTACTTTTCCAGTCTTCTCACACTTTACCCTCCTCCACATGCTTTACATTCTAATGGCAGTGGCCTCCTTGCTCTCCATCTGCCCATTCCTGGAATGCTCTTCTTCTTTATATCTTCCTCCTTTCTGCCTACAGAACTCAGTTCAGACTCACCTTCTGCAGGGGGACCAGCACCTGTCCTCTCAGATTGCCTCGTGTCTTCTGTGGATAGTTCTTTGCACAGTGACTCTCCTCCATTAGAGTGTGAGCCCCCTGGACAGGGCCCATGTTTTTGTCTGTCTTTGTATCTCTAGTACTTAGTACGTACCTGCTCTACAGTAAGCACTTGATAAATGCTCATTGATTGGTCATCAGGCTATAAGAAACATCTGGGCTTTGAAATGAAAATAAGACCTGATTGGGGTCCCTAAAGACTAAGGGACTGCAAGTGGCACCAAGGTTTGGAAGTGACTTTTTTCCCTAAATTTGTAGGCTGCACATTGAGAGAACATAGGTGGAATGATAAAGGAGCATTGGATTTATTTTACATTCCGTTCCTCACAAGAGTGTCTTGGGGGGGGTTGGGCTTGCTGATCTCTGAGATTCCTTTCCTATCTAGATCTATGATTCTGTGGTCCTAGCAGTCCTGTCTTAAACACTTATTAGCTTTGTTACTCTGAACATATCACATAATGTCCTATGGGTTCAGTCATCATAATGGCCCAGTTTCTATATCCAGCTGTCATGTCTCACCTGAGCTCTAGAGCTAAATCACTGTTCCATATTGTTCATTTTGAACTGAATGTCATATTGGTATTTCAGACTAGATATGTCTAAACAGAACTCATTGCCCTTTTTTCCCTGAACTCTCCCCTCTTCTAAACTTATCTGTTTCTGTTAAAGGTACAGCCATTCTTATAGTCACTCAGGTTATCTGGGCTATTGGAATCACTTCTTGATTGGTTTCTTTTTCTCAGTACTTTCCCTCCTCCAGTATGTTCTCCATCGTGATTGCTAAAATACAGTTCTGACCTATCATACCTTACTCAGTAAACTCCAGCAATTCTTGTTAATTCTAGAATCAAATAAAAATTCCTCTGTCATTTAAAGTCCATCACAGCCTGGCTCCAGCCTTCTATCCTGATTTCATTACACGTTATTACCCGTCAAGCATTCCTTGGTCCAGCCAAACTGGCCTTGCTCTTGTTCATTCACAACATTCTAAGTCTCTTTTCTCTTCATTAGCATAGATTTTCTCTGTCTCCCTCCTTATGTCTTAGAGACCCTATTATCCTTCAAGATTCAGATGAAGGGCCACCTCTTTTGTAACCTTTTCTGATCCCCTAATCTTCTAGTAGGTACCACTTCTTGAAATTACTTTGGATTTCCTTTTTATGTAGTTTGTGTATACTAAAATGTATAGTTACTATTTTCCCCCAGTAGTATGTAAGCTCCTTATGTCAGTGAGTGTTTCATATCTATATTTTTTATCACTAGAGCCTGTATAGTAGGGATTTAGTAAATGGCTGGTTGTTTAACTAGGACTAGAAATTACACACAAATCAAAGTACCAACCTGTCAATTTGACAGTATGTTTTTTTATCTGCAAGATAAAGAAAATCAAGATTTATAGGAAGAAAACTTATTTAAAAGCAAAACTGTAATACCTACATGTAATTATTTTTATTTAAAGTTCATTTACACTTACAGGAGAAATTATAGGAGACTATAGTAAAATTAAATTAGAAAAATTGTGTCAATTGATGTAGCTGGTCTAGACTTCTGGTGTTAATCTCTCAGTTTTATCATCTGTAAAATGGGGATAGCAGCATCTACCTCAGAGAGTTGTTTTGAGGATTAGGTGAGAATATATGCAAAATGCCAGCCATCTATAAAAACATAGAAATGTAAAATGCTGTCATTTTTGCCTGAGAAAGGGTGAATATTGGAAGTCTGTTATAGAAAATACAGAGTAGTTTAAGGTCTGTGGTCTATTTTTAGACGATTTTTCATGGGAAAAACACAACTTTCTTACTTATTCATAATATGTTAGACCTTTCAATGTAGAATACTGCATGAAGTAATGATTATTGTTTTTAACCCTGCCTATTTCCATAGGATATTGTGTCTCTAGTTCCTCAGCTGCGCCACGTCATAACTGTGGATGGTAAGCCAACAACTTGGTCTGAATTTCCCAAGGGTGTCATTGTTCATACGATGGCAGCAGTACAGGCTTTGGGAGCAAAGTCAAACTCAGGTATGGTCTGTTTTACTAATTTCTCTTCACCTGTATTTCTAGTCATAATAGAACTCTGTTAGTATAGTGTGCTCATGAATGTTCCCTTTGGATATCACTTTTATTTATACAGTTGTTTGAGGAAAAATACATTGTTATTATTAATTATTATTATTCTGTTTTAAAAGTAGTTTTGATTCAAGATTATCTTTTTTAAAAAATTTGCATTCTTTTTTCCATTTTTTCTTTTTTGATTATTCCTGAATAGTCACTAACATAAATTTCAGGATTAAATCATGAAATTTGTCTGTGTTCATAATGCTTAGATACAAATGCACATCCAAAAATATTGAAAAATATTTGTGGCTTGGATTATTTTCCCTACATAATTTTGCCCACCAAAGTTTGTGAGAGGAAGATTTAGGTTCCTGGCATCTCCAAGTGGATGCTTTGTACCATCTATGTAATAAATAATGGCTAGATGTAGTTGAAATATAACTGCTGTTACAATGATGTGTTAAATACTTTTTTTTTTTTGGTGAGGCAGTGTTGGGGTTAAGTGACTTGGCCAGAGTCACACAGCTAATATTACATGTCTGAGGCTGGATTTGCAGGTCCTCCTGACTCCAGGTTTGGTGCTCTACCCACTGTCCACCTAGCTGCCCCCTAAATACACTTTTGGCCTTAGAACTTAACAACTATTTATAATATTGATTCTTTTGGAAAATTTCTTGAATTAGAAAACATTTTTATACAAATAGAATTCAACATGTTTGGAAAAGGAGACTGCTAGCATAAGTCAAGTCTTGTATTCCTTTCTGTAATAGGGCTACAATGGGAACCTGATTAAAAAAACCAGTAAAATGAAGCCAATAGCTTTGGGATAGAGAAGTTCCTGGACCATATGTTGAAGATGCCCAAATTCATATGTACAGAATTGGGAGTTAACTGTATATCATTTAAAAAATAGTTAACTGTGCATCATTTTAAAAATGTCTTTTCAAAATACGTGAATTAAGTATTAGCCTGAGCATACTTCCTAAGTGCAGGCAATTTTTCTGATTTTCTCCTCTGCTTATTTCATGATTTTTTAAAAAGTCTATATAGTAAGGGCTACATGTTTGAAGCTCTAGTCATAACTACAATTTAATAGATCATACTTAGCTAATATCATCCTTTTTTCCATCTTTAAACAAATTGTATTTTTAGCTTTGATCTCTTAATGCTGCTGTAGAAATGCAGGCCTCTTCTCATTTCATATTCTGTACATTTTGAAATAAATTTTTGGTTGCCTCTTTTTAGATCATGTAGCTGGTAGATTGAACCATCTTTTTAGTGGGTAAGATAGATGTGTAATGTGTGGGGATTACCAATTAAAAATTAGTTTTAATTCCTTAAGCCTAGACATTAATGTGTATGTTCTTGGAGCATGTTATCTCTCCTTTCCTAAAATTTCGTGCTCTGACCTAGACCTTAACTTTATTATGTACACTCAAGGCGCCATTGACATGAGGTTGGAGGCTTCTGCCCTCATCTTTTCCTCTTTCCTTACCTCCTTTGCCCCTTATCATCTGTCCCCGTTATCAGTCTACTTTGCCTCTTCATGTTTAGCTCTGTCTCTCTTACTTCGTGCCATCCTCTCCCTGTTACTCTATATGTCTACATTCTGTTTCTCTGTCTTGCCCCCCCGCCTGCTGTCATTTCCTTTCCTTGGCTGTCTCTTCTACCATCCCTTTTTAGTCTCCTGTTGTTTCTCTTTTCTGCCTCTGAATCCCTTCTACCTTTACCATGTTTTCCACTCCGTCTCCCACCACCACAGCTCTCTGTCTTATCTGTCTTTGTGTGGACTACATTTGTCATCCTGGTGCTTCTACCTTTCCCTGCTGCTGAACTTCCTACTGTTTGACCACCCAGCATAACTGGCTCTTAGTTAAGTGATACCCTTGTTTCCTGTTCCTTAAGCCCTTACTTTTAATCACCCATTCTAATATTCATTTCTTTTTACCTTCAACCCAGTCTTCTTTTTATTTTCATTTTGGGTCAACCAGGTGCCTTGATTGTGCCCTGAATATGTTTTACATAGCATTAAGAGTAGGGACAACTTGATATGCGTGGTGAAAATCTATAATGAATTCCAGAGGACAGCCCAGTTATTTGACTGTAGTAAGATTTTGTAAGAATGAGTTATTTATAAGAAATCATTTTTCTAGAGTATAGAAGTAAAGTTTAACTGATAGCTTCCTTCTCAGTAGTGAATTATTAAGTAAAATATTTCATACTGCAGGGATAAGAGGGATGTGTCTATCTGTATACACATTTGCAGTTCTTAGCTTCTGGATATTTTGTCCATATTTTGGTGAATAGTTTTGGAGGTTTTGTTGTTGTGGATTATATTTAGGTGCTGTATTTTTGAGGTACCAGTATTAAGAGCAGTTGAAAGAAGAATTTCTATTCAATGGTTTTAGAAAATAAATTTAAAAAGCTTTGATACATACTTAGCATAACTCTATTCTTAATACAGAATATTTTATACACATTCTAGTTCTTAATGTGATGTTAGAAAATGGTGTGTTTTGTATGTTCTAGAGAGTAGATTCTATAAGCAAAGTTTTCTTTATAATTGGGTCAGGTAGGTGGTGCAGTAAATACAGAGTGCCAGACCTGGTAGCAAGAAGACCCGAATTCGGATGTCCCTCAGACACTTAGTAGCTATGTGATCCTGGGCAAGTCAGTTTACCGCTTTCTGCCTTAGTTTCCTCATCTGTAATATGGAGATAATAATAGCACCAATTTCCCAGGATTGTTGTGAGTTTCAAATGAGATGATATCTTTTTTTTCCCCTTGCTTTTAGGCAATTGGGGTTAAGTGACTTGCCCAGGGTCACACAGCTAGTAAGTGTCAAGTGTTTGGTCTGAGGCAGGAATTGAACTCAGGTCCTCCTGACTTCAGGGCTGGTGCTCTATCCACTGCGCCACCTAGCTACCCCTAGATGATATCTTTAAAGCACTTTGCACAATGCCTGGCATGTAGTAAGCACTATATAAATGTTAGCCATTATTATTATTATTAATAGTCTTGTTTATTTCTTAAAAGTAAATATTTCCTCTGAGTTAGTTGTCTGTTAGCTGTAGGTAAGAGGCCTAGGTTATAGCTTTATTTTTGCTACTGGCCACATGTGAAATTTAAACTGTTTTATGGATCTTCCACCCAAACAGATTTTTCCCAGGGTAATTATAATGCCATTGAGGACCATTACATTTAAAAAAATTTTGTGAAGACTTGAGATTAGATGTGAAACTCTGACTTCTTTGGAAGAGTGACTTTGTGAATTATACATTATTAGGTGATTGCATATTTTAATTGAATAAACGAGTTTCTTTCAGACTTAAAGCTATTTATTCTAGAATTCCTTTGTGGATGAAGTTTTGCTTCCAAAAATTAAATGTAAATGAAGGTTTTGAAAATAAACTTTTTTATTTTATTTATTTTTGTTTTTGGTGAGGCCATCAGGGTTTAAGTGACTTGGCCAAGGTCACACAGCTGGTAAGTGTTAAGTTTCTGAGGGTGGATTTGAACTCAGATCCTCCTGACTCCAAGGCCAGAGCTCTATTCACTATGCCACCTAGCTGCCCCTGAAAATAAACTTTTTTTAAAAAGTATCAAGTTGAATCATTCAGCAAGCATTTGTTAAACACTGTGCTTAAGTACTGAGAATACAAAGAAAGGCAAAAACAATCACTACACTCAGGGAGCTTACATTCTCAGGAGAAAATGGGGGCAAGGGAATAAGTATTTCTGTAGCTAGCACTTACGTGCCAGGCACTATGCTAAGTAAATGCTTTACAAGTGTTACATTTGATCTTCCCAAAAACCCTGAGTGGTTGATGCTGTTATTATTTCTATTTTATAGTTGAGGAAGCTGAGGCAGACAGAGGTTAAATGACTTGCCCAGAATTGCACACTAATAAATGTCTTAGTTCGAGTTTGAACTCAGGGCCTCCTGAGTCCAGGCCTAGCGTTGTACCTACCCACTGTATCACCTAACTGCCTACTGGGGGAGAAAACATTCAAATGACTGTGACATAGAAGATGTATATGGTATAAGTGAGAGTTTAATTAAAGGATTCTTTATTATCGTACCAACTAAAAAGTGTCAGAAGAGTTGAATATTTTACCAAAGTTTATGTGATATGATAGAACTCAGTTTCTTAGATTTACATGTTTTCTTTTATGCAGCAAATGCACCTGAAAACAGGCCTACAGCCTCAGATATTGCTGTAATCATGTACACAAGTGGATCTACAGGACTTCCAAAGGGAGTGATGATCTCTCATTCGAATATTATTGCTGGTATAACTGGGATGGCTGAAAGGATTCCAGGACTGGGGTATGTCCTAAAGATCAACAGATAGTTGGTTCATTGTATATTTGACTAGGGATATAGTTATTTTGTTTCTTAAAAGTTTAAGATCCAACAAATAATACTTTTTGAAAAATAGAAATGAAGCATTAGACTCACTATTTCTATTGCCTTTTACTGAATATCAGAGATCTTTGTTTGGATGTTTATATAAATTTAAATTTGCTTAAATTTTTTTTTTACCATATTACAAGAATTTAAAAAATAGCAATGTCATTTTCTTTTTTCTTTTTCTTTTTCTTTCTTTCTTTTTTTTTTTTTTGCTTTTAGGCAATTGGGGTTAAGTGACTTGCCCAGGGTCACACATCTAATAAGTGTCAAGTGTTTGTTCTGAGGTCGGATTTGAACTCAGGTCCTCCTGACTTCAGGGCTGATGCTCTATCCACTGTGGCACCTAGCTGCCCCACAATGTCATTTTCTTTGATCCTTTTTAAAAACAGTTAACTTGTTTTAAGTGAACAAATTGTGACAATATCTAGATAAGAGGAGCAGTCAAGACAGTTTTCGTATATTAATGAAATCGGACAGATTTTACCTTATTTTTATGATGCGCCTGTTGTGTAAACATAGAGAGATCTTTTATGTAGGTTTTAGAATCCCTAATTCGCTTTCCCTTTTTCAATGCCAATAAACTACTTATCTGAATTCTCATTTTCCTTTTTAGAGAAGAAGATGTTTATATTGGATATTTGCCTCTTGCCCATGTTCTAGAATTAAGTGCTGAGCTTGTTTGTCTTTCTCATGGATGCCGCATTGGCTATTCATCACCACAGACTTTAGCAGATCAGGTATTCCTTCACTAAACCCAAATCATAGAAGATAGGTTGTTAATCTTAGTATATTTTTGAGAGTAAGAATTATGATAATTTTTTTTCAACTGTGTCTTTTGAGTAGTTCTCTTTAGAAAGATATAAAAAATGAATACATATTTGTAACATGTTATATATTGAGGTTTTAGGTTCTTAAATGTAGAGCACAATTTTTTTTTTCATTTTTAGTCAACAAAAATTAAAAGAGGAAGCAAAGGAGATACATCCATGTTGAGACCAACACTAATGGCAGCTGTTCCGGTAAGAATCTCTTTGATGCTCTTTCAACACACATAATCATACACTTAATGAATCAGTTTGGGCTTTTCCCTCATCTCCTTTATCTTTTTTTTTTTTACTCTTATGTGTTTAATTAAGTATATTCCCATAGTCACTGCTTATTGTGTATTACAAAGTTGTCACCGATAAAGTAGTATACATATTTTATTTCTGATTTATTAGCTCATATATAGGTAATTTGGCTATATTACCTACTACCTCTTTATTATTTTAATTTTATTAATCCAAACCTAGTGTTGCTTTCCATTTCTGTATGACATTCCAGTGTCTCTACTTAGTAATTCATTTGCTGATAATTATCCGTTTGATTCTCTGAAATTTTAGCTAGTAGCTTAACAGGGTATGGAAAGGTAGAACCTTAAAGTCTCCTTCTTCAAAATCAAATCGTTTTAATTTTGTTCATGGTATTTAGGAGAGTTAGCCGAATGACCATATTCAGGAAGGGAAAAAGAAGGAAAACTCTTGTTTGAATCTTAGTGCCCTCACAAGCATTGTACAAATTGTAGTACTGGCACTCACTGATCCCTTCCTCCCTTAACGTACACACGTAAGCTAGAAAAGGGCCTGTGTGGATGCAGCTGAGATTGCAGGAAGGAGGCGGTGTCTCCTGTTTGTGTTTTCTGAACCCTTGTCTGCATTTTCCCTCGTGTTCCTTAGAGACAGAGAAATCTCACTACAAAACCTATCAGTTTTTTCCTCTTTCCTTTGCATGCCAGAGAATGGAAAAGATTGTTAGGTTTGGGCAGTGGGATCCCAAGGAGTCGTCTGTAGTACCCAAAGAATTTCTTGTTTGCTCCTTGGGTTGTGTTTGTTATCATTTTTGGACTGGCTGCCAGGCAGCTGCAGAGGGTAGGTGTTCCATGGAGCTGAGGGTCAGATAGGGGAAGAGTAATGGGAGAAGGGTGGAGGATTCGCCGTAGTAGAGGAGTTTCCCACCTTTACAGCTAATCAAGAGGTTAAATTCTTTCTTCTCCTTCCCGATGTTCTGGCCCAAGATCATGAGACTTTTCTCGAGCTTGGTTTCCCCTGTGTTTCTTAAGGTCCTTTCTACGCAGACTAATCTTTAAGTTCTGACCTTATACATAGCAGTGACCCCTTTCTAAATCACCTCTCATTGGTTTAATGGAGGAGACAGTCCCCCTAGTGTTAGCAAACATGAAAAATTGAACCTGTTCTAGCTTTTTCCTGTTTTCCTGTTGCACATGTCTCAGATCTTCTATCCAAACCTGATGATGTCATCCTCTCTCTCGCCCTGCACCATTTAATAAGCTCCAGTGGTTCTCTATTTTCAGGATCAAATATAAATTCTCTGTTTGCCTTTTAAAACCCTTGATAACTTGCCTCCATCCTACCTTTGTAGTCTTCTTAAATCTTACTTGTCTCTATGTACTCTTCAGTTCAGCGACACTGGTCTCCTTTCTGTTCTGCGAACAAGACACCAGTAATTCATCTCTTGACTTGGAACATTTTTTCTGGATGTTCCCCACACTGGGAATGTTCTCCCTCCTCATCTCTGTCTCCTAGCTTTCCTCAGGTCACAGCCAAAATTCCATTTTCTATTGGAAACTTTCCTGATCTTCCTTAATTCTGCTTCCTTACCTTTAACATTATCCACCATTTATACTTTGTATAGCTGATTTGACCCTAGCTATTCGCATGCCATCTCCCCTCTTGGGTTGCCAGCTCCTTGTTGAGCGGGGACTGTGTTTTTTCTTCTCTTCCAGTGGTATTTAGCATAGCTCCTGGCATGTAGTAATTTCTTAATAAATGCTGATTGACTGACTATTCCTTTCCCTTTGCCCCTAAAGTGGTTCACTAGCAAACAAGTTTACAAATAGAATAAAAATTCTCATAAGTAATGTTCACCCTCTGCAAAGCTAGCCCAATACTTCTATGTTCAGATTTTGTGAAGTCAGTGAACATTGATTTTGGGCGTATTATTTCATCCTCTAAATATACTACTTTTTCTGAACCCGTTCCTGACAATAGCACCAACATCCTTCCAGGAACCCAGGTTTACAACCTTTTTTACTCCTCAGCCTCAGTCTTCATTTCATGATATCTCTCATATCTACCACAACCCCCAGTTCAGACTCTGTTTACCTTTTACCTGGCCTATTGCAAGAAATCTGCTAATTATTCTCCTGTCTCAGGTCTGTCCTAACACTAATCTTTCCTCCACATTGTTGCTAAAGTGATTTTCCTAAAGCATAAGTCAGGCCATGGCACTCCCTTGCTCAGTGAACCTCAGGGGTTTTCTTTCACCTTCAGGATAAAATTTAAACTCTTCCATTTGATATTTAAAGTCCTTGACAGTCTCTTCAACCTATCTTTCCAAACTGAATTTCTTGCTGTTCCTCACATGTGACACTTGGTCCTGCATCTTTGTGGCTTTGAACAGGCTGTCCCCAGGCCAAGAATGGGTTGCCACCTCAGTGTCTTAAAAATCACCTATTTCCTTTAAAAAGCATCTCATGTATTTCTACTGTTGGCCCAGCCTCTTCTGATTCCACCCCTCTGTTGTTGATGGGCCCATTCCCCCCCACCCCCCAATTACCTTGTGTTTATTCTGTTTGCATTTATTTATAAAGTATATTTGCTTTCTTTCCAACAGAGTGTAAGTTCCTCCAGGGCAAGAATTGTTTCATTAATGTGTTTGAATCTTCTCTAACACATAATGATAATAACAAATAATAAGTAATGAATATTATGACTATAATAATAAATAACAAGTATTTGTTAATTTGATTAGGCACTTAGGATCCAGAGATAAAAAACAGTCCTTGCCCTCAAGGAGCTTTATAATGGGAAGGTATGGGGGGATCACTGTGTACACAGTTACGTATAATACAGGGCAGAAAGAGTGATGGGCAAATGAGTGCCCAAACAAGGTCTCCAGAAATGTTTGAGGAAGGAGAATAAGAATTAAACATGGAAGGATTATTCTTTTTGTTTGTTTTGTGTGTGTTTTTTTTTTTTTTGGCTAGGCAGTGGGGTTAAGTGACTTCCCAGGGTCACACAGCTAGTAAGTGTTATGCGTCTGAGGCCAGATTTGAACTCAGGTACTCTTGACTCCAGGGCCGGTGCTGTATCTACTGCACCACCTAGCTGCCCCCATGGAAGGATTATTCTAAGAGGCAAGAATGGTAAAGTTCAGCATTGGATGGCTAGAACAAAGGCACAGAGATGAAAGAGGAAGTAGTATTTGTGAAAAATCGCTGGAAGGCCGGTGTGGTCAGACTGAAAGAGTTTAGGAAGGAAATTAATCTGTAATGAAGCTGGAAAGGTAGGTTAGTACCATGGTATTCTAAGTCATATAGACTAATTGATATTTTATCCTAGAAGTCATATAGGGTGTGACAAGAAATTGTTGAGTAGGGGAATGATGTGGTTTTGCTGGTAACAGAATTTGTGTAGTGGGGATAATGTGAAAAAGATAGGTAGATTGGAACCAGATTGTGGAAAACCTAAAATCCTGGGGTAGGCAGTATTGCCACTTGTGGTTTTTGTCCAGTAATTCTGTTAACTACCTTAATATTATAAACTTTAATATTACATTGTTGGGAATGCTACTATATTAAAGTTCTGGTGTTAAATATGTTCCTTTTTATATTAACTAGGAAATCATGGATCGGATCTACAAAAATGTCATGAATAAAGTGAATGAAATGAGCAGTTTTCAACGCAATCTATTTATTTTGGCTTATAATTACAAAATGGAACAGCTTTCAAAAGGCTATTGCACCCCACTTTGTGACAGGTAGCTTGACTTCTGCCTTTGGTCTTCAGTTTACATTTAGTAACTGCTGAGTTGAGATGTGAACGCGAAGTCACATCACTCTTTGAAAAAGTCATTAAAGCAAATCACCTTTAGGTTTAACTGATTTTACACTGACAGCAAAATTGGCAGTAGTTTTTCTTCAGTTTGTCAAAGTTGTATTAATTGTATTTTCTGTATTTTCCAACAAGCTTAATTTCTACCAATTGCAGCTCTAAGTCCTGTTCCTTTTACATTTATTCTAACAAGCCTAAATAAAATTCAGATATTTCTCTTATATGGAAAGCAACAGTTGATGAAAAATTATTTAGTAAGTATTGCTTTTCACATTTTAATACAGTTTTTATGGGTTTATGCTCTAATTTGCAAACATAATGCCACCTCTGCTTACCCTAGTACAGGCTGTGCATGGCTATGCCTGGGATGAATTGCCTCTTCAACTGTACTTCTTAGACTCTCTTGTTCCTTCACAGCTCAGCTCATATACCATCCAGTCCCTACATGGGGCCTTTTCTGATTCCCGAACAGCTGGTGCATCCCTTTGTCCCCACGTTACCTTATGCTTATTTTGTGCAATTGGTGTGTGTGTTTCTCTGTACATTAGAAGGGAAGATAAAGATTATTCTAAGAGGGGTGTTGGGAATTTGTCGTTTTTGTCTTTGACTTGTTAGCACCTGACACAGTGCTCAGCACATACTTGATGGATTGGATTCCTGTAGATTGGAAATATTTTTAAATGATTAAGGTATCGTTAATTTTTTTTTGAGGGGAGAAGGAAGTCCAGACCTGTGATTACTGTGTAAAAATAATACTTACAAACTGTGTTTCCATACTTTGAGAAGCATTTCTTTGTTTAAAGGCAATTACACCCTATAGTCTTTATATCACTTGAATGATAAGAGTTTAAGAGCATAACCTGAAATGGAGCTGATCTGGGCTCTAGACCCAGTTCTACTACTTGAACAAGATCACTACCTCTGTTGGGCTACATTATTGAGTGTAGGGGGAGGAGTGTGGACCAGGGGACAGTACCTTTCGGAACTAAAACTCTGACTCTGATTTTAGGTTTGTTTTCCGGAAAGTACGAAGCCTGCTAGGTGGAAATATCCGAGTCCTGCTATGTGGAGGTGCTCCACTTTCTGCAACAACTCAGCGATTTATGAATATCTGTTTCTGCTGTCCTGTTGGTCAGGGCTATGGACTCACTGAATCAGCTGGGGCTGGAACAATCACTGAAGGTTAGTGTTAGCCTGAAAAGTAATACCCATCCATTTTATGACATGTGCAGAGAGAAAGAGTGGCTTGGAGTTGTTTTCTTTTCAACAAACATGAAGTAATTTTAGGAGCAATTGAGGAAAACTCGAGGTGCTACCAGTATGAATTTAAAATACTTATGTAGCAACTTCAAGTTTTCTTGTCATCCACTAATGCATCCAGACACACTTATTGGGTAGAATTATGTAGTTTTAAAAAGCGCTGACATTTTGAAATGATTTTTGAAACAGATGAATCTTGACTGTAAAATTATTTTTTTATTCTCAACATATTTAACTATACTTTATTAGAGAAAAAGTAAAAATAAAATAAAATGTTTATTATTGTGATTTAGGTGCCTATATTAAGTTACTTTGCAGACTATATATACATACACACACACACACACACACACACACACACACACACACATACATACATATATGAGTAAACAAATAAGCAGGTAGGTGCCTCAAAGAATACAGGATCGGTTCAGGATTCAAAGTACAGTTAATTTTTTTAAAAAGACAGAATTAAGATAAATTTTATGTTAATTGAAAACTTTAATAGAATGAAATAAATTGTTAACTTTTGAACTTGTCTTTTTAAACTCCACAAGAATAATATAAAAATTACTTTCATTTCCTTTCATACTCTTAACTCATTTTGTTTATATCTTGGCAGTGCTTTGTAAATATGATGAGCCACATGTTGTCAAATGTGTTAATTTCTACATACTGTAGGCCATATGTATTTTTGAATTCCTGTCAGTTGAATGAAATATGAGATTGCATAACAAAGTATCTTCATGATCCTAGACGGATTATCCTAGCTATGTGCACATGTGTATAAAACACATAGGTACATACATGTGTGTATGTGTGCATATGTATGCACACACGTATACACATATACAAATATGACATCCACCAAATTTACAGAGAAACACTGCTGAGATATTAACAGCTAAATTAAGCGCTAAAGGCTCCAAAGGAAATTATGGGTAATTTTAAGATTTTTTTTGTGGGGGTTAAAAAAGATATTAAATTATTTGTATAGATATAACATAATGAATTATAGATGTATATATGTATGTCCCATATACATAATAACAACATAAACTTCACCTAGTATTTATATACATATTACTTGCTATGTGCCAGGCAGGCGCTGTGCTAACCACTTTACAATCATTCTCTCATTTGGTCTTCGCAACTACCCTGGGAAGCATGTATTAATAATATCCTCATTTTACAGATGAGGAAACTGAAGCAAAGAGAGGTTAAGTGACTTACCCAGGATCACACAGCTGGTGTCTGAGGTTGAATTTGAACTTGGGTCCTCTTGATTCCGGGGCCAGCACTCTGTGGTGCCATATAAGTGCCACATTTGTGTATGTGTATGACTATTACAGTCATAAGAGATTTCAGCGTGTCTTTGTAGTGGGAATTTCCCCTTTCAGGTGTTCCTTGTGCCAGTTAAACACACACACACACACACACACACACACACACACACACACACACACACACACACACACCACACATCCCATCCCATAGTGGTCTGAATAGAGGCCACCACAAAAGGTGGCCCACATCCCGAAAACGAGAGCTTTTATCTTTCTTCCCAAGAACGTTAGTTACTAAATACAAAGTTTGAACTGAAGTTATGGTCCTTATTCAAAGGGAAAAAAAAGGTCAAATTACAAGCTATAGGGGCAGCAAGGTGGCGCAGTGGATAGAGCACTGGCCCTGGCGTCAGGAGGACCTGAGTTCAAATTCAGCCTCAGACACAACACTTACTAGCTGTATGACTCTGGGCGAGAAACTTAACCATGACTGCCTTGCAAAAAAGCCCCAAAACAACAACAAAAAAACCAAATTATAAGCTATGCAGGGTGTCCCAGAAAAATTCTCAGTGCACTTTTAAGCATCGATAGCTTAAAATAACTTTTTAAAACTTTATTTGTAACCTTTAACTTAAACATTGATAGCTTAAAACTGCATTAAGACTTTTGGGACACCTTGTACGATAGAGAGAGAGAGACTGTTTATTAAAGCTTAGCCTGTGCCATGAGCTATAAAGTTGTGTTGTTAATTACTTTGGACATAGCAGTCTACAGGTTTCACCAAGGAATTTTTTTATTATTTTTGATAACCTAGTCATAGAAGATAGTGAATATACTACCAGGTCATATAAACAAGATCCAAATACATGAGAGGAAAAATAAGAGGCTATATAAAATGATGATAGTCTCCACCATACTTTAAAAGTTCTCTTAGAAAAGCTGTATATAGGGAATCTTATCTTTTTTGACTTTTTTCTTTTTAATCTAGTTTGGGACTATAATACAGGCAGAGTTGGAGCACCATTAGTTTGCTGTGAAATCAAATTAAAGAACTGGGAAGAAGGTAACAAAAATTTTGTACAATGGTATATTAGTATGTGGTTGGACTTTTAAATTCGAATTTCATTTTCTTACATTTTATAATGGAAAAAAATCTATTAATGTATACTTATTTTTTCCCCCTGTATAGCAGTGGTATTTTGTCAAGGTGTAATGATCTCAGTTAATTTTATTTTTAAAGAGCATTTGTTTTTGAGATTTTTATATTTTCATTTATTATTTGATTACAAACAGCATAATTAAAAATTATGCCAAAATAATTTAGGAATTTTAAGAATAAGAATAGGTAAAATGTTCCTAAGCTTATTAGTCTGTGTCAGCAAAAACATGACTTTTTAGAATATTGGTATATGATTTAAAGATGTTTTATTATTACTTCAATATATTGACAGAAAATTATTGATCCATGAGTGCATGATATCATGTTCAAATAATAATTACATTTAATTGTATTTAAAAAGTAAAATCTTATATGATCTAGTAAAAGTCATTTCTTTGATGTTCTGTTTTCTTAGTAGATATTCTAAGGCTATTTGGTTGTTACAGTAATAAAGTAAATTATTTCTCAGTGCCTAAAACATTGCCATGTGCACAGGATGCATATAGGAAGTATTTGTTGAAACATGTGTTGAATTTGTTGTTCAGTCAGATTAGTAAAATATTTAATATTCTTGTATTCCCAGAGTTCACAAGTTATAAGCAAGGAACAGTTTAAAATGCAATTAATTTTAAACAGTTGATTCATTTATTGCTTCATTTAAAAATGAAGTTTCACATGGGAGGCAGAATTTAAACCTTCACACTAGTAGAGTGAATTTAGGTTTTAGATAATGTTTTCTTCCTAGCATTTCAGTGAGAATAGGCTATTTGGTGATTCTTTGACTACGGCAACCCATGAAACAAGGAAAAATATAAAATGGCCCTTGGTCCTGAATAGTGATCCTCTTTTACATCTGCTGTGATGATGTCAGGGACAGAAAAGTGGGACAGAGAATGCTAGGCATCACACAGTTTTTAGATTGTCTTTAAAGGTGGAATGTTGGTGTTGTACATGTGAGAACCTTGTCTCTTGACCAAGGACTGTTGGCTACTGAATGAAATGAATTGTATAAATCTTGACATTTTCACCATGATTGGAATTGGAAGATAAAAGTTGGACGGAAGGATAGAGCCTAAGTTCTTCTTAGACAGGCAGAGGGAGTTAGTGGAGTTGGTTTTATTGTGCATCAGTGGCAACAAAAAGTCATTTCTTGGGACAATTGGTTATCTCACCAGTGCAGTGTTCATGATAAGCATTTGCAAAGAGACCACCAGAAAGTGATTGCAAGCTGGAATTCCAGCATCTGTTACTTAGTGCAAAGAGTTAGAGAAATTCTATGAAGAACTTGATTAAACCCTTCAGATTATATCAGCATAATATTTTAATACTTGGTAACTTCAATGTAAAGATTGAGTATAAAGAAGGAGAGTGAAAACTGTTGAAAAACATGGTTTAGAAGTAAGAAAAAGAGAGGCTAATAATAATTGTTGTGGTACAGAACTCTTGTGTCTCATTAATACTTCAAGAAAGAAGTTAACCACTGAAGATAAACAACAAATGCCACCGTAAAAATTAAATTGATTACTTTCTGTAAGTCAGGAAACAACTGGTTATAGATAAGAGTAATTTCCAGATCCTTTCTTTTTGGTTGAATTTTTATTAAAGCAACAGAATAGAAAAAAAATTAAGCTCTTACTGGGGCCAAGCACTGCTAACCTCTGGGGATACATACAAATCAAGACATTCTTTGCTCTTAAGCTGCTCACATTCTTATTAGGGGAGACAACACATTAGGAGGGTTCAGCTGAAGGAAGAACAGGTGAAAAAGTGCTCCTTAAGACATTCACGCTTTGCCCGTGGACAGTAAGCTGTCAAGAAACTTAGCAGAAGAGAGTCTTAACACAGAGATAATGGTGGAAAAAAGAAAGGATATGGATGAATGGATGGAATGAGTGGTGGAAAGAAGATAGGAACTGAAGTGACTCTAGCCTTCCTTGTTTTTTAAAAGCAGTTGATGCCAAGTAGTAGCAAATAGTGACAAGAATATCTGTGAATATAGACTATCACCATTTCCTTAGAAACCTTATCTTGTAGAAATCAGTTTTCACAACTTGGAAATCAAATGAGCTTAGTAAATACCTAATTTTAATGTCGCAAGGAGAGAGATGGCAGCCAAGAGCTATACTACTTTAGATTTTGAAAATGTAAAAAGTTAAGAAGGAAAATGGTGGAAGATTGTTAGCATCACCTCTTAAAATAAGTAAGAAATAATTCAATGAATAACAATACTTTATTTTAAAAGATTTTTTTCATTAAGGAAAATTGATTTCCCAGTCCCCCATTGAAATAAAAAAAAAGCCAACCCTTTTAATAAATGTAAATAATCAAGAAAAAAAAAATTCCTGTAATAATCTGATCCAAAAAATGTGCCCTGAATTCATCAGGTAATTGTGGGTAACATACTTTATCACCAAAGTACCTTAATAAGATAGATCCTTCTGAGAGCATTAAGGATTAAACTTGGAGGACCTCAAAGAGACAAAAAGTTGGGCAAATCTGTTCCTTTAACAAAATTGTCAGCAGCAATGCAGTCATCTTATTTGTACTCTTAACATCACAGATAATAGTAAAAAAAATAAAGATGGAAAAAGTAGCTGGATTGAACCGTTCTGTATGGAGGAGATTGCACTAAAGGTGACAGTAGAGAGCAGTTGAAGTTAACAGTTCTCAAGAGAGTTGGGTGAGAAGGCTGCCAAACTTTTGGAAAGAATGATAGACCTTATTTTCATCAAAAGACGTGATTGAGAAAATGTCAATAGCTCCTGACCATATTTCTACTTTACCATCGCCATATGTTCTGTTTGAAACATATGTGTGTGTACGTATATGAATAACATCCTCAATTTGAAGGTATGGGAATAGAACAGATAAGCTTTCATAAATCACATTCTAGAATGAACGCTGTCTTTAGTTTGTGCATTTGACTAAAATGTGGGAAATTCAGAAGATCCCAGTGTTTTATTTTTTAATAGCATTTGATTTGGGAGATCAAAGTATTGCTCTATGGGCTCACTTCTGATAGGGTATATTCCTTTCATATGTTAAAATCCTACAGGATTCTTTGGAAAGAATCACTTTATTTAATGCTCTGGTTATTAACATGAAACAAGGCATAGAATAGAGAGGCGAGTGCTTTCTAAAGGTATTTGCCACTATCATATCCAGAGTAGAAGAGTTATTTTTCTATAAATGATGAGGTGCTTCAGAGACTCCTTTTTTGCAGATGACTTATTATTGATTTTATCAAACTCTAGAACATTGCACAGCTTCCTGAGTGAGATCTGTGATCATCCAGAAGTGTTCTAACTATCCACAGAAGAATAAAACCAACTGGATAAAGATTGTCTCTTGTCTAGATTCTGATATTCAATTATATGGATAATCCAAAGCATTGTTCCACCAATGCCTGTCTCACATGCTAAAGATGGACAGTGAATTGGACCCAGAACTGAACAGAAGGAGGTTAGGTGGTATTACCTTTGGGTAAGAACAATAATGTCCTTTGGGTGATTCTGTTTGGCGTCTTGGAGCACTAGTTTCCAGATAATTAAAATTGCAGATCACACAAAGAACAGTGAGCAGATGCATGGTAGGCATAATAATGCAACATATTACCAATGCATAATTACCCAGAGAAAGCAGCACAAAAGGATGCATCATGAGAGAGGTGTATGCTTGTACAGGGAGGCAGGCCAGGAATAGAGGATGACCATCGGACAGCCCACATCCTGTATTTATATCCATGCGTTGTTAGAAAAAGCTCTCACTATTTTGAAAGGGAATGAGGCTGCCTGTGAAGAATTTATGGTAGCAAATGAACGATAATTGCATGGAATGAAAAGGTGTTAATGACTGGTAATCCATACCATTAGAGAATACCCACAATGAGATCACTGATCCATCAAAGTACATTCTGTATAATAAAGATGAGAAGTCAGTTTGAACAATTTTTGAAAGTTCAAATTTTTTAAGAAAAATATACTCATGCTTAAAGCTTTGCTTTCTTTTCACTTCTTTCCCCAGCCCACAGGTGCCACTTGGGGGGCATCTTCCCTCCATGCCTTCCCTTTGACCCTTTCTTTGTCATCTTTACTGCATGGGGCAGGCTGATGGGGAAGAATGACAGAGTCTTCTCACATGGTGTGGATGGCATGGCAATCAACAGTTCTAGTGTCTCTAGAGAGATGGAGGATTGCTAGGCCTTATCATTTGCTCTGCTGCTATGTCTTCAGGTCATCTGGGTTCAACCATTTGCCCTGTGGCTTGTGCCCTTTGGACCTCTGAGCCTCTGCCATCTGTTCTGTTGCTGCACCCTTAGGATTTCAGGGCCTCTGTCTTCCTTGTGACTGAACTTTCTTGCAATGTTGTCCTCCCCAGACAAAGTAGGAGTTCCTCGAGAGCAGAGACTGTCTCATTTTATCCCCATTATTAATACAGTATTTGGCACATAGTGTTTAATGTTTTTTCATTAATTTATCCTACCTAGACAAATTTGTTTAACTAGGGCACTTAATTCTGTGGTAATCTTCATAACTTTTTAGTGCTCTAAGGTATTTTCTTAGCACTACTAATATAATTTATGTCAGCTATCAATATAATTTATATTTTAATGTTAAACAATTTACAAACCTTTGTTCTTATATGTGTGGTAAAAGTAATGATAGAAATGACCAAAAAAAAAAGTAATGATAGAAATGGTAATATGTATCTTTTACAACATTTGATGAGATCAATGATTACTAAACAGTGAAATTAGCAATAAAAAGGAAGAATGTGAAATGTCTAATATTTAAACATTTTATAGAACACGAAAAGTTCCCTTTTGTTCCTGCACAAGTGTGGACTGCCTCTTTCCCTTCCCTCAGGAATATTAGGAAATGCTAGATTTCAGACAGTAATATGTGCATAACCTATAATAATATTTATCAAGTCTATTAGTACACTTAAGCTAGCTGTCAAGTTTTTTCCGAAATATTCATAGCATTTTTTCATGTAACTGTATTTCTCTAGAAGCAGCCTTGGAAGGTAAGAGATAACTAATTTGCCCTGAAAAGTATAGAAATATATACATGTTTTCTTCTTTTGGTACTTAAAAGATTCACATACAATAAAAAAAATTCTTTCTATTAATTAGGTGGATACTTTAATACAGATAAACCACATCCGAGAGGCGAGATTCTCATTGGTGGCCCAAATGTGACAATGGGCTACTACAAAAATGATGCGAAAACAAATTCCGATTTCTTCGAAGACGAGCATGGGCAGAGGTGGCTCTGTACGGGAGATATTGGAGAATTTGATCCTGATGGATGTTTAAAGATTATTGGTGAGCCATATGATGTGGGTGTTGGAAGTAAATCCTAATACAGTGTCCCAAAAAATCTTATTTCAGTTTTAAGCTGAAGTAGCACAAAAGTGCACTAATCTTTGTGGCATTCTCTAGTCACACAAATTAAAGAATTTATAAGAAATAATTAAAATAAATTTTAATCATTTTAGCCTGTGATATATGTATGTATGTTTCACTTTATTAGAATGCCTTACAGACTACATCTGAATATAGGTTTTGCCCTACCATATATAGATACACACTGAATTTTTCCATAAAAGTGTTGTATTTTCTAAGTTCCAGTGAAAGCATCTCTAATCTTTTAATTAAAACAAATATTCTATGATTATGATTTATGATTGTATTCATAATTCTTTATTTTCACTACTTTGAATATTTTCTGTTACTAAGATTGTGGTTTTTAACATTTAACTTTTATATTAACCAAATTTGGAGGCAAAATGAAGCCTATATTCAGACTAAGATGATTACTTCTAGTGTGGCTATTATGTTCAATACTTTTTATATTGTGGGGTTCCAATAAATGCTATAACAATAATATTCTAGTATTATCATAATATTTAGCAGCACTATTTCTGCCTGTTCAGGCAGCCCTGGTTTGTGTGAACTATTCACTAGATGTTAGACTAGGTTTTGGCTTTATATTTCTGAGGAATCATGTTTGCTTTGTCCTTGGGGAGAGTTCTCACAAATGAGGCAGCTCAACTGTTGTCATTTACATAGAAAGAAGAATAATTCTGGATAGCTTATCTATCTCTGGAGTCTCATAGAATCATGAGTATAGAGGTCTTTGGTAGGTTGTTTTTACCACTATTTGGCCACAAGTCACTTTAATTTAGTAAACATGAAGTGAGTAAGAGAGGAGAGTTATTTTGGCAACTATATGGAGGAGAAATTGGGGAGGGAAGAGTGAGACCACTTCTTAGACTATTTCATTAACCTAAGTGAGAGGAAGTGAAATCCTGAAATGAACTATTATTACTAGAGAGAAAAGAGGATAGGTACCGTGATGTTATGGAAGTGGACTCAACAAGTTTGGGCAATTGATGATTTGATACGGAGCACAAGTAGAGGGAATAATCAAAGGTAACCCTGATGTTTTGAGCCCAGGTGACTCATACTATATCACCAAAAGTGTGAAAGTTGGAAGGAAGGCTAGGTCCACAGTGATTGTATTTAACTCTGTTTGTGACCTTCTCCTTTTATATTTGGAAAAAGTAATGATTAGGTTATCCATCTTTATTTTAGTAAATACAATTTCTCATGTATTCTAATTAGGCCCTTCACCATTTAACGTAGTTGGTCATACATAACAATTTTTAAAAAATGTATTGGGCTAATATGTTATTCTATTTTAAATGAATTTCTGGTATGCTCATCTGAAGGATACAATTATTTATCTTTGTTAAAAATGTTTCCTTATTAGATGAAATGCTGGCACTATTAGTCTTTGCTTGCATTTGCACTGATAGCTAGCTGTCATCTCTTACTTAATAAGCATATATTTTATTATGTTCAGTTTGTTTTAGTTATTTTAAAGATCAGTGTTTTTTTGCCTTTATGTCAGCTGGAGACTTTTTCTCATTTATTTCCTGAACTTAGCCAATAAAAGTAGAAAAATTAGAGGTTACTTGATTTTGATCTATTTATTTATTTGTTTGCTTGTTTATTTATTTACACATTTATTTATGTATTTATTCTGTTTGAGTATCTTGCCCTTTATTTTATTTATTTATTTTTTATTAATTATTTTGATTTATCAACAATCATTTCCATAAGCTTTTGAGTTTCAAATTTTTCTCCCCTTTCCTCCCCACCTCCCTCCCCAATACAGTGTGCAATCTGACATAGGCTTTACGTATATGTTCCTGTTAAACGTATTTTCACATTAGTAATGTTGTAAGGAAGAATTAGAACCAATAGAAGGAAGCACAAGAAAGAGGAAACGAAACAAAAGAGAAGAAAAAAAAAGCAAAATAGTATGCTTTGATCTGCATTCAAACTCCATAGTTCTTTCTTTGGATGTGGATAGCATTTTCCATCATGACACTTTTGGAGATGTCTTAGATCCTTGCATTTCTAAGAAAGGCTAAGTCTATCAAAGTTATTTATCGCACAACGTGGCTATTACTGTGTACAACGTTCTCCTGGTTCTGCTCACTTCACTCAGCATCCGTCAGTGAAAGTCTCTCCAGGTTTTCTGAAGTCTGCCTGTTCATCATTTCTTATAGCACAATAGTATTTCATTACATTGATATAACACAACTTGTTCAGCCATTCCCCAGTTGAAGGGCATCCTCTCAATTTCTTGGCCACCACAAAAAGAGCTGCTATAAATTTAACTTTGTACATGTGGGTCCTAGTCTTACCTTTAAAAGTATATGTTTACTATTGCTCATTAGAGCCTAAGTTCATGATATGGTTTTTTTTTTTTGCTTAGTCTTATTACAAATTTACTTGATAACTAGCTATTTAAAGATACTCAGTGAGTCTATATATTGGGTAGTTTCATTGTATACATATATATGCAATTTTCATATAGATAATTAATGTTTCTTTCTTTCTTTTTTTTTTTTTAAATAATAGATCGTAAAAAGGACCTTGTAAAACTTCAGGCTGGAGAATATGTCTCTCTTGGAAAAGTTGAGGCAGCTTTAAAGAATCTCCCATTAATAGATAACATCTGTGCATATGCAAACAGGTATGGTAAGAAAGTTTAATGTTCCTTTGTCTTTTTTAACATTTTTGTTTTATGTGATTATCTCGGACTCTCTTTTCTTTCTCCATACCCTTTCTTTCAGTGATCTCATTAGTTTCCATGGGTTCAGTTTTCAACTTTATGCAGATAACTGTTGAATCCATATGGTAAGCCTAGCACAGTATCTACCATATAAGTAAACCCTTCATCAGTGATTTTTATTGATTCTTCTTAAATATGAAACTAGGACAGGTAAGCTTAAAGTTCTTTTATGATGTTATACTCCAGTTAGGTATGCTAAGCTGCCAACTAAACTATCACTTTGTTCGACAGTTTGGGGTTTTATTTTATTTGGATTATTGACTTACCTCACTGTAACAGAAGAACTTTTTGACGTTCTGATTATCAGTATCCAGTGAGGCAATAAAACCAGGAGACAAATACTCACATAAGGAATATACTACTGTTTAACAGAGTATGAAAGACATTCGCTACAGATGCCAGTGGCTTCCAGATTTTCCTGTTTGTGGACAACATTAGGCTGATTTCACCAAGCTCCAGAATACTAGACTTTTCTTGTACATGTTCTTGATTGAAAAAAAAAAAAGAATCAGTCTAATCTACACAGGATAAATCTGAACAATGTCTGTTGTCCAGAATATTGCATAGAGCTGGGTGGACATGCCATTCAGGTTGTTGTATCTCTCTTTCTCTGGCTGTGCATATGAACAGTGAGATAGACTCAGAATTAAATGAAAGGAAGAGAAAGCTCTGTTTTCCTTTGAGGAAATTTTTCACTGCTTTTGGCACTTCCAGTGTGCTTCTGAAAGTTAAAAAAAATTTTTTTTGAATACCATTTTTTTCTATCATGGATTGCACAATCTCTATAGAATCAAAATAATGGCTGACAAGAGCAGTGGAGAGTATGTATAAAGAGACTCTGCAATATCATTAGAGATGACTTGTGCAAGAAGGGACACAAAGCATAATATTAAACAAATGTATAATGGTCATGAAAAAACACCAAAGATAACAGAGAAACATCCTGATTTCTTGCACTGAAGTTTCATTGTCCATAAAATGAAGATGATAATGCTTTACCCCACCACTTTGGGTTGTGTTGAGACCCAGATGAGAAAGAATATGTGAAATCACTTTGAAAACTATGAAGCACTGTACAAATGGAAAGGTGTCTGTGATATTTTTGGTATTAACCAAAGCCATAAATGTCCTCATCTGCATTACTGCAGCAGTGAATTCTAAAAAGCATTGAAGCAGATATGAAATGCTGTGAAATATTGAAAGAATAGATATAATTTTGTTTAGTAAAATGCAGTACATTTAAATGTCATATATTTACAAAGAGAACTTTTTGGTTTAGAATTAGCTACAGAACTTTGAAAATATCGAGTAAGTATTCTTAGCCAAGTACTACTAATTCACTGCTGTTTCATTGAAAACCTGTTATTAATGCATGACCTGCTTCCTTTGTATATTTCAGTTATCATTCTTATGTCATTGGATTTGTTGTGCCAAATCAGAAGGAACTAACAGAGTTAGCTCGACAAAAAGAACTGAGAGGGACTTGGGAGGAGATCTGTAACAGTCCTGAAATGGAAAAGGAGGTGCTGAAAGTGCTCTCTGAGGCTGCTGTTTCAGGTGAGTGCTGTGTTAAACTCTGTACAGAATTAATGGAAAGTCTGTTATAAGAAATGGGAAAAATCAGTGTGGTTCTTCTAATATTACACAATATGTTCCTTTTCAGAACTTGAATTATGTCATTCTCCTGCTCAAACAACTTCCATGACTCCCTATTTCTATAAGTTAAAATTCAAACTTCATAACCAGTTTTTCAGGACATTGTTAGTCATATCCATCAGCTCTTCTTTCTTCTTCTCCCCTTTACATTAAATTTTCTTTTTCTTATCATGAACATAATAAATATCAGCAAAACCAAGCACTTCCCCACACAAAAAAGAACATAAAAGACTACGTATGAAAATGTGAAAACTGCATTATGCATAGCAAATGTATATTTCAAATTTAACCTGTTTGAACACTGATCTGTTTGTCTGTTACGTCTTTCTACCCTTCTCTTTTCTTGTGTTATGTTTTTAAATGATTCAATTGACAATCTTTTCCTTTTTTTTTTTGGTTGTCTCTATCAAATGCTGTATTTTTACAAATAAATATAGTCAGACAAAACTGAGTCTGAAAATGAATGTCCAATGAATATCTGTAACTTTAGTCCATAAACTCTTCCAAGAAGTGGAGAACATGATGATCATTGTATAATTTTTTCTCCTGGTTTTACTCATTTTATTCCTCATCCATTCATATAAAATACTCCCAGGTTTCTCTGAAGCTGTCCCTTTGGTCATTTCTTACAGCTTAGTAATATCTCACTGTCTTCTTAACTCTTTGCAGTCTGGCTTTTGATCTCATTATTCAACTAAAACCTGCTCTGGCTAATTAATGATTTATTAATTGCCAGATCTAATGGCCCTTTCTTAAGCCTCATCCTTCTTGATCTCACAGCAGCCTTTGGTGGTCTTTGTAGACCACCCACTTCTCTTCAGTACTTTCTTCTCTAGCTTTTCATGACACCACTTTCCTCGTTTTCCTATTACCTATTACTCCTCCTTGTTTTCCTTTGCTGGATCTTCATCCAGGTCATGCTGTGAACTGTGGGTGTCCCCTAGGTCTCTGGCATGGATCCTCTTTTTCATCTATACTGTTTCGCTTGGTGATCTTATTGTCCCATGTGTTCAGTTATGCTGATGATTCTCCAATATACTTACACAGCCCTGACCTCTCTGTTGACCTCCATTTTCACATCTCTTAAAGCTTATTGAACATTTCCTGCTGGATGTTTTGTAGACATCTTAAACTTATCATGGCCAAAACTGAATTCATTACCCTCTTCCAAACTTTCCTATTACTCTTTTTTTCTTTTTTGGGGGGGTGGGGTGGGGTGGGGGTGTTGTTAGGCAATGAGGTTAAGTGACTTTCCTAAGGTCATACAGCTAGTAAGTGTTATGTGTGTGAGGTCAGATTTGAACTCAGATTCTCCTGACTCCAAAGCCAGAACTCTATCCACTGTGCCACCGAACTGCCCCTTCCCTATTACTGTTGAAGGCATCACCATCCTTCCAGTCACCAAGGCTCGAAACCTAGGTGTCATTCTTAACTATTCACTTCTGTTTCCCCAAATCCAATCTGTTACCAAGTCCTGTCAATTTTACCACCTTCACATCTCTCCCATAGGCTGCCTTCTCTTCTCTAAAACTGCCACCATCCTAGGGTGCAGCCTCATCACCTCATGCCAGGACTGTTACAGCAGTCTACTGGTTGGTCTCCCCACTCTAGTACATCCTCTACTCAGTTGTCATAGTTATCTTCTTAAAGCAGTGATGAGACCACGTCACCCCTTCTTATTAATAAACCCCAGAGGTTCCTGATTGCCTCCAGAATCAATAATGAAATCCTCTGGTGGAGGTTCAAAGTTCTTCATAACCTGACCCCATCTTTCAGTCTTTTTATACTTCAGTCTATGCCATGTACTCTGAGATTCAGTGAAACTGGTTACCTTCTTATTGTGTAAACAAGACGCTCTCATCTGCCAACTTAGTGTTTATTTTCACAGCTGTCCCCTGTGCTTGGATGCGCCTCCTGACTTCTTGGCTTCCTTTAAGTCCAAACTTAATATCCCATCTTCTGTAGGAAGCTTTTCCCAATCTCCTTTAATGCTGGTACCTTCTTTCTATTGATTATCTGCTATTTATCCTGTATGTTTCTTGTATGTGCCTAGTTGTTTGCTGTCCTTTACCTTTCTTTGTATCCCCAGTACTCAGCACAGTGCCTGGCACACACAGTAGATGCTTAATAAATGTTTATTAACTGACATTATGTTCATTTATTTTATGTTTATTCAGCTATTAATGGTAATATCCACTTTATTTCTAATTCTTAGCTATAATCCAAAGTACAAATATTCTTGTAGCTATGTGGATCCTTTCCTTTTTTCTTTTGAGTTCTTTGGGGTATATACCTAATAATATTATTGTTGAGTGAAAAGGCCCTCTTCTTTTGAAATTTGTTCCCTTAACAATACTGTTTATCTCTAACAGAACTTTTCATGATATTTGAGTAACCCGAGAGAAGAAACGGGCTTTGTTAAAAAAACATTGTTACTGGTAGTAACAATGAATTTTTAAATGGGGGCTAATAAATACACATTGTTAACGGGCATTTTTTATGCTTTTGAATTTTGAAACTTTTTTTTATGTTATGGCAGCAGGTCTGGAAAAGTTTGAAATTCCAGTAAAAATTCGTTTGAGCCCAGATCCATGGACTCCCGAAACCGGCCTGGTGACTGATGCCTTCAAATTAAAACGCAAAGAACTTAAAACACATTATCAAGAGGACATTGAGCGAATGTACGGAGGGAAATGATCATTTTCTTTTTGCACCTGTTTGCTACAGTGAGCTCAGATCAAATAGGAAAATACTTGAATTGCATGTCTCAGCCTTTGAGACAAACACCATTCCTCATTTTAAGCCTAAGCTGTTATTTCTCATGACATCACCATCTTTAACTGACAGGATTAGTAAAATTTTAAGACAGCAAACTTGTGTCTGTCTCTTCTTTTTTTTTTTCACCCCCAATTTACTTCACTACCTATGACTATATATTTGTCAATTCGTGTGTTTTCCTGAATCATATTGGGGAAGCAATGATTTTAAAACCTCAGATTTTTAAAAATGATTTATATATCCTGTATAATGTTAAGTTTGTAACTTTTTAAAGTTTGGTTGTATAGAGGGATAACTAAGAAATATTAGAAATGGTTACTTTGGGGGGCCTTTTTTACTTACAGTATTTAAAAACAAAAAGGGTATTGATGTGAAATTATGTAAATTTCAAATACTTATGAATCAAATCATTGTTGAACAGAAGATCTGATTTGTTGTTGTGTAATTATTGTCTTGTATGCATTTGAGAGAAATAAATATATCCAGGCTTTTATGATTTAAGAGATGAAACACCTTGTGAATATGTGCCTGACAGTTTCTTCTTTAAATATTTAATTTTAAAATGGAAAATAATGAAATTTGGTCGTGGCACTGTATGTGATGAAGCAGTACTACAGGTCATTCTTTATTAATTCAGAAGATACTTAACATAGCAAATGTAATGCCAGTTAGTAACTCTCCTCTAATGGTTTTCCTTCAAAATCTATTCAGACAATTTTATACAAATGTTAAAACTAGGAAGACACTGAAACTGTTAAAGGAAAACTACTCTATAGGTTTGACAAGGTATTTTTTAGAGGTGGGAGTTTAAAAAGCCAAACATCTTTTGTCTGCATCAGCCTTAAACACATTCAAATTTCTATATTTTGCTACATGTGAATCATTGAAAACTGTCATATCTCCTAGCTGTAGTCCATATGGCTTATTTCTTGTTTTTAATTTAGGATTATTTTCTTGGATATAAATTTGTACTAGGTTGTATTTATTTTACGTGATATGTTGGTTGGATATTTGACTTAAGTCCTTCTTGTAAAGAAGTGTTCAACTTTCCTTTTTTGCTAATAAATTATAAATGTTTTTATCTTGAAAGTTGTGAATATGATATATGAATAAAAATGGAGCCATCTGGGATTGAAAAAAGTGTTCTCATCTAGGTTATATGATAATTTAGAAGATATTCTTCTTATTAACCTTTATATATGAGAGAAGTGTCAAGATTTAATTTGCAGATTTTTCTGTATCACGAGACACTCTTCTTGAATCCTAAAATGCTGTCTGTCTAATAGATAAGTTTTTTGAAATGCTTTGGATTTATAAAACATTACCTAAGAAATTGGAGAATATGGTATCAAAGTTGATCACACAAATTGAAATGTACACAAATCAATGCTTTTTTAATTTTTAGGCACTATTTTCAGCAACACATTACATAAAATATTTTGTACCTATTAACATAGAAGTAATTGCATCTCGACTCCTTTAGGTATAAAAATAAAGGCAAAGATATTGGATATTTGGCCCTACATAACTTGGGTAAGATTTTTGAATGTTGAGAGGACCTAAGACTAAATGGATGTTTGTTGCTTGGTTGGAAGGCTTTGGTTGCATCACAAAGGTATCACACTTGGAGAAATAGATATTTCTTTTTTGGCTTCTTATTATCATGTGTTTGCATATTTCTATCTGCCATAGATGTTTTCTTGATAAAGTTTAGAATGATTACCTAGAAGTGGGTTGTTTTTTTTTTTTAAGTGAGAAAAGAATTAAAGGGATGAATACTCTTGAAGTGGAACAAGAAGGCCTTTCTACATCAACATTAATATATGAAATAGAAAGTCTTGGGATTTTAGGGAAGTGGAGATTGGAAACATTTAAATTACCAAGCTTATTGCTTACATTTAATATGGCACAAGGATTAAGAAGAATAAGAAAATGTAGATTTACAGGAAATGGGATAAAAAACAACTTATAAAAAGAAACATAGTTCACATGCTATTTAGAGCCATGGTTTTTGTTTTTGTTTTTTTGACCCCAAGGAATAAAATTCCCACAAAGGGAGTAGTTTTCTAATTTGGAATTCTGTTGCATTCTACCGTATGCTTTCTTCCAGGAAGAAGGGTAGAGTTTAGGTTACAAAAGATTCACCAGTTAGATAATCAAATTAACATGTGTTTCAGAACTGAATTGAAAGTATTTTTCTTTTTCCTTCCAGAAGCAGCTAATGAGATTTAGCTGACTTCATTATCTACCTAGTTTCTCATTTGTTTATGTGCTTAAAGTTGAATTTGTTCAGTCCACCAAACCAGAGCCAGACACCTGTGACCCACAGTAAAACAAGAATGTTGAGACTAAGTAAATAGAACAACTTGTCATTAGGAAAATTAAATAACTATAAAATGTTTTATTGTGAGAGATACTAAGTTAATTTGGTGACAGGATGGGTGGGAAAGGAAAGAAATCAGTTATAAACTGTTTCCTTAGCTTTGGCATTGTTTCTGAAAAAAAAATACATGTTGAACTGTGTCACAATGCAGATATTAGAAGACTTATTCTTAAGAAAATAGAGAGTTCTTCTGGAATTAATTGGGAAAAATGAGATGTCTGAAGAGTTCTCACAAGTTTATTGATGCAATAATCTCCACAATTTACAGAAGATAAGATGCGCCCACCAAGGAAGCATTCTTCTGTTAGTAAAATAGTTTGCTGAAACAGAAAGCAGTGCAAAATTGAATCCGTGGCATTAGGGGATGTCAATTCTCTATGTAATAATCTTTTTGAAATGTCGATAACTGCTATAAAATCCCGTGGAGCTTGTCAGTTTTTCTAGCACCTGCCAGCAAGAATAGGGTAGCCTGGCATACATTTTCGTATTTGCTGCCGAAATTCACAAGCGTATAAACATTTTTGTATTTGAACTCTTAGAGACCTTGTGATGCAACTTTTTTTTAAAGCTGTGATGTGTGTTCATTTTCTTGGGCCTGTAAAAAAATTGTATACATCTGTGTTTTATATAAAGTGGTCCACTTTTAAACAGTGTACATATTGGACCATGCTAAAAATGTAACTGAATGACCAGTTGTATATTGTAATTGGTTATTTAATGTAAACTCATTTTCAGTGTATTCTTGGTTGTCGCTCTTACTTGCCTGAAAAAAGTGTATATCAAAGAGTTATGTTGTATGGATTATTTATTTGTAATTGGACAAGTTTCAAGAATAAAGAAATGTAAAATATGTTTCTCAAGTTAAACCCTGAGTTTTTTACTTTATTGAGTGCTTCTATATTATCTTAAAAAGACTTTTCCTGATAACTAAGACTTTAGAACACATCCTTGAATATTATTACTTAGAAGCTCTTAACTTTCCTATTGTTTACTGTTCCTCCTCTTTTTTCACATAGTATTCCCTTTGAATGAAAGTTATATTCCTTTTATCATTTTAAGAGTATTCTGTGATGTAAGTTCTAGAATGTTTGTAATTCCAACCTTTTAATTCTTTCTCTTAATTCTGCTGTTTTCATTGTTTCCTTATGTGCCCTACTATCTCAGTTTGTTAGAGTCTCAGAAAGCTGTACTTTTGTAAGAACATTTTCAAATGAGTGCTGGTACCTAGTCTTGTACACTTATCGCCTTGTTTATAGAGATTAGAAATGACATTACTCAGATTTGAAATATTAGTACTGAGGTTTGTGCTACTTAGACCATTTGTTTAGAGCATGATGTTTTTGTATGCAGCTGAAATAAAGCTTTGGAGTGGGGGTTGATCTTTGGAAGACCATGGCTATGGCAGCATTTGAATACAAAACATTTATCTTTGGACAACAGTTGACATTGAATACTGGTATTAGGATTTTCCTGACAGCACCATTTAGGTTATTAATTAGACCAGTTGATCTTTGTATAGATAAAATGAGATGGGGAAGGTTGGTTATATAAACATAATCCTAACAGTTGGATTTTGTAACCAAGGCTAATTTCTTTTTCTCCCTGGTAGAGGATTGTACACTAAGAGCTAGGTATGCCTTTACGAGTCATTCATTCATACACCTAGATGAAGAACCAGAGGCTGACAGCTTGCCTATTGTCACAAGGTAGTAAATGAGAGTTAGAATTTAAACCCCCTCTAGCTTATTATTCAAATATTTTAAATTTTTTGCATTCCTTTAAAAATTTTTTGAGTTCCAAATTCTCTCACTTCAGTCACACCCCTTCTCACACTGAGAAGGCAAGCAGTTTGATATAGGTTATACATGTGCAGTCATACAAAACATTTCTATGTTGTCCTATCAGTGAGTTAGGGGGCTGTCTACCCCAAGCATGTGAAGACTTCCCCCAGTGTAATGGATAGATGAGAACAGTTTGTTCCAGTGGCCTTGAAGGCAGCTAAAACAGGCACTGTGGAGTGCTTAGACCTTGATATTTCCGTGTTAAACGTGAAAGAAAACCCCCCAAAACAAAAAAAAAAAGTCCAAACATGCTTAGATCTGCATTTTGACTTTTTAAAAATTAAGTTTTATTTTTAATTCCAAGTTCTCCACTCATGAAGAAGGCAAGAAAAAGTAAAACCCATTTCAAATATATAGTTATGCAAAATTAATTTCTCCATTATCAATGTTCGCTGCACTGTGTCGCTCCCCCCCAAAAAAAGGCAGGGAAAAGGAAGAAATAGATGAAAATATGTTTTAATCCGCACAGTTTATGCTTAACCTCTTCTGAAGTCCATCTGTTCATTATCTGGAGTTGGGCAGCATGTTTCGTTGTGAGTCCCTGGAATTGTAGTCGGTCATTGTCTTCATCAGAATTATTAAGAAGTTGACTGTAATATTACTCTGTAAATTACTATGTTGATTTCCTGATTCTGCTCACTTCACTGCATCAGTTCATACTCATCTTCCCAGGTTTCACTAAACCATTCTTCCCTTTATCATTCATTGCTTACAGTACAACAATATTCCATCCCATTCACTTGCCATCACTGACTGGTTCAGCCATTCTCCAATTGATGGACATCCCCTGAATTCCCCATTTTTTTGGGGGGGGTGGCTAGGAAGTGGGTTTAAGTGACTTGCCTAGGGTCACACAGCTAGTAAGTATTATGTGTCTGAGGCCAGATTTGAATTCAGGTCGTCCTAACTCCAGGGCCAGTGCTTTATCTACTGCACTGCTTTTTTTTTCTTTTAGGCAATTGCGGTTAAGTGGCTTGCCCAGAGTCACACAGCTTCAATTCCCCATTCTTGATCACCACAAAAAGAGCCACTGTAAATATTTTCGTACAAGTGGGCCATTTTCCTCTTTCCTCCTCTAACACTGAATCCAGCTCTCTTTCTGTGATTCCAATGTTCTTTTTACATTTACACTCAAGGGGCAGCTAGGTGGTGCAATGGATAAAACACCGGTGCTGGAGTCAGGAGGACCTGAGTTCAAATGCAGCGTTAGACACATAACACTAGCCAAGTGACTCTGGGCAAGTCACTTAACTACAATTGCCTGTGCGTTTGTGGCCCCCCCCCCCAGTTTCCATTTATGGAGATTTTATTTAAGTTTCTCTTCTGAATTGTCACTAGTTTTTTTTTTAAGTAGTTGCTGAAAGTCCTGGAGATAAAATTCATGATCTCTTTCATTTTTACTTTTATGTTGTAATTGACCATTGATCACAATTCTGTTGAATAATGAACTTTTTTTTTTGCGCTATTTTAAGGTCTACCTTTCTTATGCTTTGGGCTTTTCTATTTCAATATCCTTATATTTTTTGTTTTTAGGGTTTTTTCTTTTTTTTTTTTTTTGGCAATTGGGGTTAAGTGACTTACCCAGGGTCACACAGCTAGTAAGTGTCAAGTGTGTTTGGTCTGAGGCCGGATTTTAACTCAGGTTCTCCTAACTTCAGGGCTGGTGCTCTATCCACTGTGCCACCTCGCTGCCCCTATATCGTTATATTTTTTGAAAGTGGAAGGTGAGGCTACTTGACCTACACCATGGCTCTTGGCATTTCAAATGAGGTCATAAGACTGCAATTTATCTATGTTCCCTTCCTACCCTCCAAAATTTGGTTAGGGTTACCTAACCTTTGTATGGGGAAGCTCTCACTGGCCTCCATAGCTTGGGGCCAAGCAAGGCATGTAGTTTTTATCCATACAATTATTTCATGGAATGTCTTTTTGAGACCCCTTCTCTCCCCAACTCAGGAAGCTTAATTTCTACATAATGTGTATGTGTTTATTTGGGGGACTAGAAGCTGTTTAGTAATTACAGTTGATTGATCAGAGGTTGTTTTTAATCACACATAACAAAAACTTGGAGAAGGGTTAGGTAAGAGACACAGTGGGCAAAGTGCTGGGTCTGGAGTCCAGAAGACTCATCTTCCTGAGTTCAAATCTTACTTCAGACACTGACCCTGGGCAAGTCACTTCTCCCTGTTTGTCTCAGTTTCTTCATCTGTAAAATGAGCTGGAGAAGGAAATGGCAAACTGCTCTAGTATCTTGGCCAAGAAAACCCTAATTGAGGTCATGAGTTAGACATGACTGAGCAACGATATTTGAAGGTTTATCTGTATACACTATTCATTGAGCAAAATCCATGTTTTTTTTAAATATAAATTTATTTATTTGTAGTTTTCAACATTTCATTTCCACAAGTTTTTGAGTTTCAAATTTTCATCCCGTCTCCCCCTCCCCCACCCCAAGATGGCATGCATTCTGAATATCCCTTCCCCTAGTCTGTCCTCTTTCCTTTCTCTCCCCCGTTCTCTTATCCTCTTCCCCTTCTATTTTCCTGTAGGGCAGAATAGACTTCTGTACCCTATTTCCTGTATTTCTCATTTCCCGATAGCGTGTGAAAAAACTTTTTTTTTTAAACATATGTTTTTAAAACTTTAGGTTTCAAATTTTCTCTCTTCCTCCCTCCCCACCCACCCTCATTGAAAAGGCAAGCAACTCAATATAGGTTGTGCATGTGCAGTTATGCAAAACACTTCCATAGCAGACATGTGAAAAACTAACTCTATTTCCCTTAATCCGATTCTGCCCTCCCATTTATTCTTTCTTTTGACCCTGTTCCTCCTCAGAAGTATTTACTTCTGATTACACCCTTTTCCAATCTGCCCTCCTCTCTATCATCCCCCTGCTCTCTTGTACCCTTCTCCCCCTATTTTCTTGTAGGGTAAGACAAAGTTCCATACCCAATTGAATGTGTATGTTATTCCCTCCTTAAGCCAAATCCTATGAGAATAAGATTTACTCATTCCCTCTCACCTTCCCCTGCTTCCCCTCCACTGTAAGAGACTTTTATGTTTTTTTGTTGTGAAATAATTTACCCCATTCTACCTCTCCCTTTCTTCTTCTCTGAGTATAATCCTCCCTCATCCCTTAATTTTATTCTCCAGATATGACCCCTTAATCTTCAACTCACCCTGCGCCCTCTATCTGTCTATCTGTCTATCTATCTATCTATCTATCTATCTATCTATCTATCTATCTATCTATCTACATACATATAATTTTTTTCCTCCAACTACCCTAGTACTGACAAAGGTCTCATGAGTTATAAATATCATCTTTCCATGCAGGAATGTAAACAGTTCAATCTTAATAAGTCTCTTATGATTTCTCTTTCCTGTTTACCTCTTCATGTTTCACTTGAGTCCTGTATTTGAAAATCAGATTTTCTATTCAGCTCTGGTCTTTTCATCAGGAATGCTTGAAAGTTCTCTATTTCACTGAATGACCATTTTTTCCCCTGAAGGATTATACTCAGTTTTGCTGGGTAGGTGATTCTTGGTTGTAATCCTATCTCCTTTGCCCTCCGGAATATTATATTCCATGCCCTGCGGTCCTTTAATGTAGAAGCTGCTAAATCTTGTGTTATCCTGATTGTGTTTCCACAGTGCTTGAATTGTTTCCTTCTGGCAGCTTGTAATATTTTCTCCTTGACCTGGGAACTCTGGAATTTGGCTACAATATTCCTAGGAGTTTTCCTTTGGGGATCTCTTTCAGGAGGAGATGTGTGTATTCTTTCAATTTCTATTTTGCCCTCTGGTTCTAATATATCAGGGCAGTTTTCCTTGATAATTTCTTGAAAGGTGATGTCTAGGCTCTTTTTTTGATCATGGCTTTCAGATAGTGCAATAATTTTTAAATTCTCTCTCCTGAATCTATTTTCCAGGTCAGTTGTTTTTCCAATGAGATGTTTCACATTGTTTTCTAATTTTTCATTCTTTTGGATTTGTTTTACAGTGTCTTGATTTCTCATAAAGTC